TGGGGTTTGCTTTTGCCTCTTTTATAAAAATGCCGGCAGTAACGTCTTAGTGTGTGGTGCCAGGAAAAATTCGTCTTTACAGGCTTCCTGACTGTCACATTGGCAGTATTTCGTTTGGGGCTTGCTTGCAGGGGCGCAGGACTGTTTTGTTCTCAGGTAGAGGAGATCTTCATCTAGGTTCTGACTCCTTCTACCCACCCTTCACTACCTAGCCTTTATCCTTTTACCCTGGTTTTAGTACTTTTATCACAGGTAGAGTCTATTTTATTGCCATCATTACCTACTTTTGAAAATAGGTGCATACAAATACATATGGGGGTGAAAATGAAGGAGAAAACTCACTTAAATGATTTTTTCAGATCCTCATAGCTGTGCAATAACTTCTGGAGGCCAAGAAGGTGGTGTGCAGGAGTTCAGACGTTATCCTTTTAATTGTGCTTGCCAGATTAATGATTTAAACAAAGCCCCAAGGCTTTTGGAGAAAATGAATAATATGTAATTACCAACAATTGGTTTGACACAAGACCCCTTGCATTCTCATTCTGAAAAGAAAACCAGAAAATTTAAAGAACAGAAACTAGCCCCCACCACACACATACTCCCTCTTGTCCCTGACCCCTTTATTCTTGATTCAATATAAGGATGAACATAGTGTTTATAAAGCTTCCCCCTAAAAGTATTTTCAGATTAGCCCATTTTTACCACCAGCGAAAGCTGCAATTCTCAAAAAATAATTAGCATGGTTTACCTCTTGGAGAAGTGATGAGTGTTATATTTTAACAATGTGTTTTCTGATTTTTTTTAAATAAGCACTCATAAACCATGTCAAGGAAATGTTAAAGATACATTTTCCAACTTTTATTCTGGAAAATTTCAAATATATACAATGCAAACATAGCATAATAAAATCCCATGTACCATCGCCGAGATTCTAGGTTTTAACATTCTACTACTCTTTTGACAATTTTTATTTATTTGAATAAATTTGACATGTGATTGTGTAAATTTAAGGTGTACAACAATATTCTAACATTCTTGCTTTGTCTATAATCTATCCACTCCCCAACCTTCATTCAACTGTTTCCATTTTTTATTGTTCTTTTCGCGAAAGCAAAATTATATTAGAATGCATAAATATTAACTGTACAGTTTTGACAAAGTGTATAACCATGTGACCCATTCCTAACATAAAACAGTTCAATTTCCAAAGAAAGTTCTGTCATGTCCCTTCCCAATGCTATTTATCATTATTATCACTATTTCTATTATTAATATTGAGGTAACATTAGTTCACAGCACTGTGTGATTCAGAGGTAGAGATCACACCTCTTCACATGTAAATTACCATATCACACCCATCACCAAGGCACCCCTAGTGCTCCACCAGAGCTTGCTGTGCTCCCACCACACTTTGCTCTCTGCCCTCCCTTGCGCCTCTGATAACCTTAATCCTATAGTCAGATTTCTAGGGTTTGGTTTTGTCTTACCCTTTGTCTTTGTTTCTCTCTATTGCACATGAGTGAACCTATTGATATGTACCCAGGGTGGAATTGGGGGATTATGCTAAACAAAATAAATCAGAAGGAAAAAGGTAGTCACTATTGTTATTTTTTTCAACTGGGATTAGTTTTTTCTAGTCCTAGAATGTCACACATAATGGAATCATACAGTATGTATTCTTTGATGCTCATCAGCATTGTCTTTGAGCTTCATCCGCAAGTTACATTAACAGTCTTCCATTCCTTTTTATTGCTAAATAGTATTCCATCATACGAATATGCACACACTTATTCTCCTGTTGATGGTGGTATGTTTCCATTACTTTAGCATACTGCTCTTGGGAATAAAACTGTCAAGAACATTCTTGGGTAACCAGCCTTTTGCAAGCCTGTTTTCATTTCTCTTAGCTAAGTATCTAGTAATATTTCACTGTGATTTTAATTTGCGTTTCCCTGACATCTAACGATGCTTAGCACTTTTTCATGTTGACAGTTTTTCATCCATACATATTTCTTCATGAAATATATGCTCAAATCTCTTGCACATTTTAATTGGGTTGTTTGTCTTTTGATATTGACCCCTAGGTGCTCTTTATAGTCCAAAAATAAGTCCATTTTCAAAAAAGATTTATTTATTTATGCATTCAGAGCTGGGGTATAGGCCAGACGTGCAGGGGCGATGAGAAGATTCACTAGAGACACTGGGGAGCAGAACAGGCAGATAGATGAATTACACTGCTGAGGGGAGCAGCGGGTGAGCCAGGAGAGGTCTGCCATGTGGGTCAGCTCCCTGGCTGGGGATTGAACTTGTGCTGAATCAGCTGCGGCTAGCTTCTAGCTTCGTAGTGCTGCGCTTTAACCGATTGTACCACCAGGGAGGGCCCATAAATATAAGTCCTTTGCCAATATTTGTGAATATCTTTTTCTTGGCCTGTGGCTTTTATTTTAGTAACAGAATCATTGCAGAAGCTTACATTTATCAAAGTTCAACATTTTTTCAGATTTACTATTTCATCTGTGTCAGCTTGGTACAGTAAGTTTTTAAAGGAATTTTTCCATTTTATCTCTTGTCAAACTTATTGGCACAAAGTTGTTCCTAATATTATTATATTATTATAATTTTGCTATAGGATCTCTATTTAATCGTGTTGGTAGTGATTTGTGCTTTTTCTCTTGATTAATCTAGCTGAGGTTCATCAATTTTTTTCAAAGAAGTATGTTTTTGTTTAAAAGTGTTCACAATCATTTGTTCCTATCTCAACCAAATCTTCATTCTTTTCTTCCTTCCTCTGACTTTGGGTTTAATTTAATCTTTTTCTAGCTTCTTAAGGTGAAACTTGCCATAATGGGGTTATAGAGGTGGGAGCTACTTCCTGTAGTTACTAGTAACTGGGTTACTTCAGGGTCCCGTTTTTGTTCTTTTAGCCTTCCAAACAGCTGTGAGATGGACTCTCCGTACAAAATACCTTCTGTTGAGAATAGCTAGTATGATTTTGGTTTTCCTGATCAGACTTGATCATCACGCATATACACTAGCACCTCTCAAAGTGCTTGTCAAGAAAACACTGGTCCTGTGAAAATCTCCTGGGTTCTCTGGTCTGCTGTATTTGGAAAAATGCTCCCTAAAGGATCATCGCTTTGAAGACTCTCCATACATATTACCATGCTGAAGGACTATGAATATCCCTATTGAATTGAATATTCCTTCCACCTACATCCCTGGGTCCCGGATATTAGGTTTGATCAAGGAACCTGCTTTGGCCAATTACTTACTTCGGGTGAAATCTCAGGTCAGTTTCTAGCACAGACCTAAAAAGGTATTGTATAGTTCTACTTGTGCCTCTGGCAACTTTTTACCTCCGAGAAGAATGTGTGGAAGGTAACTACTCCAGCAGCATCAGAGCCAAGTGGAAAAACCTGAACTCAACACCCAGCCTCAGGCAGAGAACCACCGTGTAGGTCAGACCCAAAGGCTTGTGGGAAGCAAATGCTCCCTGCGTCAGCCACTGCGATTCTGCTGATGGTGGTGCTGATACAGCAAAAGCTGTCCTACAAACTCCCAGGAAGCCCTGCCGCAAACTATTCAGCTCGTCATTTCCCCAAACTTACTTGATCAAAGAACCTTATTTTTTATTCCACAGAAAACACTTTGGGAAGTCATGATATAAATAAACTACTTCATTGTGATTATACTCAAATCAAGTTATTAGAATTTAATTTTGAAAAGAGACCCTTGTAACAGGATTCATTATCTAATCATTAGGGTCACTTCTTTTTTTTTTTTTTTTAAAGATTTTAAAGTTTATTTATGCATACAGAACTGGGGTACAGGCTAGAGAGGCAGGGGCTCACTAGAGATGGAGTGGGAGCAGAACAGGCAGATTAATAAAAACACTGCTGAGGGGAGCAGCGGGGGAGACAGGAGAGGTCTGCGCCATGTGGTCACCTCCAGGGCCAGGGATCGAACTCGCACTGAAGCGGCCATGGCCAGCGTCGCAGTGCTGTGCTCCAACCGACTGTGCCACCAGGGAGGGCCCAGGGTCATCCACTTCTTAAGTTTCTGGGAAATATATTAAAAAGACTGCCTAAGATTTGTCACCTTATTCTAATTGTACCGACTACTGTTTCCCCTGACAGTGTCTGCTTAATCAGATATTCTTAGAAAACGTGGGAATACTGAAATATTATTTTCAACATACTTTGCTTCTCTTCACACAAATCGTCACATACATTATAGCTTTAATTTTACCCACTTTTAATACTTCCCCGTCAAAACTTCAGCACTGCTGATTAACATATTTACTTTAAGGAAAATTTACACCGTGTAACTTAACTGGCAAAAAAAGGCCTGATGTCATCCCAATCAATCAAATTAAACGTAATTTCTATTAAAAAGACACTGACTAAAAAAATAATAAGAACAATAATGTGCATTCCTGGGACATATATATTTGCATTGTAACTTGAAAACTAGCAAAGTCTTGCCATGAACTTTATACCTGAGTGAAATAAGAGGTCCTCACTGTCATTATTTCCATCTACCCTCACTTTGCTTTGCCCAGAGGGACTTTCCTTCAGGGAAGACTGAGACTGAAATGTGGGGTTATTAAATGGAAAGTATCCTCCTTGCTACTGCCTTGCATTATGAGGTACTACAAGTGAGAACCTGGGATTTCTTCTGCAATCTGGGCCCACAGGCATTTGAAAGGGGAGGCAGGAAGGGCGGTTTGACCTCGCTTCTCAGAGGCAGATCTTCAAAGTGAATCGTTTTAGAAAAAAGGACTCAGCCAATCTGGGAACATATTCCTAAAAACTCTGCCAGGGACCCTCGGGAAATTCCCCCAGGGAGGGCAACCAACAGCTCAGGTAAAAGTTCATGCTATTAAAACACAATCAGGTCAAAATATTTCTCAAGATGAGGATCTATTTTTCTTAATCACACATTGTATTTTTACATTTAAAAAGAGAGACAAAGATTTTTTTTAAGATAATTTATTGTTAAATGAAAAAGTCACAAAGCAAAATGGAATGGGACAGATATCAAAGGCGAATTTTAAAAATAGTTTGTCAACTACTAGTTTGGATTTTCTACAGTTAGAAACAGAAGTGTCAAATGAAGGTATTCATTCTTTTCCAAAGGTCTGTGATTGGAAAAGAAAACAACTTTTCTCTGAAAGGACAAATCCTCCTTACTGCTCTATGAAAGGCATAATTTAAGAGACTGAGAAAAACATCTTTTTCATAATAAGTAAACTGTATGTCCTAGACATTCTTAGGAATGTTACTGACTTGAATCCACCTCTGAGTGATGCCACTGGATCCACCCTAAAGTGTCCCATTGTATCTTCACCTGCTTCCTTCTTGCACCTTTCAGCTAAGCAGGTTTGGAGAAAGAGGAAGGATATGAAAGAAAACAGCTGGTTCCCTAGTGAATAACTTAAAACGAAGCCTGCTTTTCCATTCACATTACACGTTCACAATCGCTCCCTCACACTTACTTAACTGATCTATTTCAGAGATCCCCCCTGCCTAGAATGATTTACCTGAACTTGACCCCGTCCCGGTAGAACAAAACAGTCTCATATGGACAGTGCTATGTTCAAAATGTTGTTGTGTTTAAAGGTCATGCTTTCCCACAGTCTCTCCCTCCCAGCTGCCCACATTCCTGTTCTGAATTCATTCAAGTGTCCCCATGAGGCCAGAGCAAAGCCTTGGGAATTCTCTCCACATAATTTAAAAATTACATTTACCACTGACAGGACAAGATCATGCAATGAGAGAAAAATCCATTTTTATCAGTGAATGCTGTGCAATTTACTCTTTCGCAGCGTGATGATTGAGCTACAGGGATCCTGTCTGCAGGGTCCCTGCTGAGCTTCCCCTGGGTAATTCTGGACCTAACCCGCAGGCTGCACCCCGGGGCTGCATGCAGTCAGGAGCCCGGCGGACCAGGCCTTGTTCAATCTGAAGAGGACACCAGGCAATTTGACTCTCTAGGTGTCCAATGACTTGAAATGAGGGTGCTTATCATCACACCTGCTCTCTTCCTTGGGCCCTGCTGTGGCCCAGGATACCCACAGAGCTATCGATTCTGCTTTCAGGACAGATGGAAACCATCAACAGAAACCCAGAAATCCAGCAGGAGTTCATCCTCTATGCTCTGAGCACTTGTCATCATTTGGGTATATTCGAAGGAAATATCCAGTTTGTTCTTTCCAACCTTGGAAGAGAAAAAGCCATCTGTGACATGCTTGCTCAAAACCCACATGGACTGGCAGGAGAAAGAAGGGCCAGGGACTGAAGCTCGGAGGTGCCCAGCCACCACACCCTTCTGGTTTCTGCAGCTGGTTCAATGAATTCATATAGTTTCTTCAGGTCACACCCAACACCACGATTGTAACTTACACTAAAATGAACCCTTAATAGAAACGGACAGCACCCAGAATTACAGTTGGGCTCATGACATCACGCTCTGTTCTGAATCGCCCTTGGCCCAACCTGGGGCAAAAGGAGGGAGGCAGACTTCCTTGCTTTTTCACTTCGGCCTAAGGCACTGGCAGAATCCCCCCTTGGTGAGGACATACTCCACGCCTTAAGAAGGAGGCCACCCAGAGTCCCCGGGGAGGACACTCACCCTAATGAACCAGGTCACTAGAAACATCTGCACCTACCTCCTCTCAGCTCACACCAAGTCTCAAATGTGATCATCAGTCCCCATGGTGAGTGAACCCCCAAAGTGTTTTTCCAAACCATCCTTTAAAAACACTGTTTTCCTCAAAAGGGTCCTCACTGTTTTGTTTTATGAAAATTAAAAAAAAAAAAAGGAAAGTATTTGGAAACCCCAAAATCTATATCAGGAGTTACACAAGCCTGTAGAGACATGACCAGATGCCAAGGGTGTGAAGGGCTTTGCTAGAGCCCAAGCTCCCCAACCTTGCAGCAGAGGGTGGGAGTGGGGGTAGGAAGCAGAGCAGAAGCCATTGCTCCAGAGGCAGCTGGTGCTGACTTGACCCTCCTGAGGAGGCCAGAACAGGGTGAACCTTTTCTTTCTTTCTTTTCTAAAAAGGCATCTTCTGTTGCGGTTTGGGGTTTTTCGATATCATGAAAAGGATTTAGAGAATTCCAAGAGTTTTGGTTAACAGGAAATACAAATGGAAATGGAAATAAAAAATGGAATGGAACTCAACTCTCCACAGATTGAACCCATATGGGTGTCACAGCTTGCTGAATTAGCACCACTTTCGAGCAGTGAAGACACCCGGGGCTGAAATTTCTGAAAACTCACTTTTTCCATCCCAGAGACTTTTTCCACGCTCTTCCTCAGATAAACTGACCCATGGAAAAAGAGCTCTCCCTCCCTATTCCAAGTTGTGGCCATTTTCCTTTTGCTCCGGTCATCTTTGTATTCTCTCATCACATGAAGACTCTGGGGAAACTATACAGCAGCAAACTAGGACATATGCTCCTTTCAAAAACAATTTGAACATTTTTAAAAAAAACCCCAATTCTCTCAGGAACGAGAAGGCGCCATGCTGTTTGCTCTCCTCCCCAGGCCGGGGTCGGGTAGCCAAGGCTGGCCTCCTTGGGCTGGCGGGTTGGGCACTCGTCCTCAGCACTCATCCGAGAGGTAATCGCCGCCCAGGAACTCCGCGGCCTCCAGCTCCACGCTGGACAGGAACCTCCTCAGCGTCTTGCGGCAGTTGTAATCCAGGGTGGTGGTGTAGACGGTCTTGGGGTACTTGGGGTAGATGATGGTGGTGCTGAGAAAGCGTGTGGGCTTGTGGCGGGGCTCAAAGCGCACCTCGGCCTTGTAGTTACGCCACGTACAATTGGGGATGCAGGTGACCGTCTGGCTACAGGAAGCCACGGCCAGGCCCAGGGGCAGGTGGACATCATCGATGAAGTGCCGCTCTGAGTCGTACTTGACTGAGGAAGTGTACCTGGAGGGAGATATAAGGCAGCATGAAGCTGCTCCTCTGGGCTGGGGCGTGGGGGTGCCTACGTGACCCTGAGCCTCTGGTAGGGTGTAAACCCAGAGAGGTGGCTGTTGTAGTGAGATGCAGCAGCGCTGATGAGGCACTGGCTGTGTGGTACTACGCCAAGCACTTTTACCTACAGGGTGCAATTTAATCATCCCAGCAACCTGGGATATTCAGGGAGGGGTGAAGGCGGCAGTGGGAGGGAGAGGTGGAGCAGGGGCTGAAACGCAGGTGTGCATACTTTGCAAGGTTTACCGGGCACTCACTCACGTTTCTCATTGCAGGCAGCGGCCCCAGTGTCTACTCCCACTTACTTGCGCCATGACCCCTTAGTCATGTTACTTAACGTTCTCAACCCTCCGCGACCTCTTTCTGTGAGAGATGCCCAATGGTAACTGGGGGGCGTGTTAAGACATACCAAGGCTTGTCTTGGTATCTATATGCCAAGGTGCATTCTACTGCTCCACTAGGGGTGAACGTTTTCTGTCCCTTTAAGTGACCAATCAATTCTTTCTTGAGAGGGGGAAGAAACCTAGAAATCCTGGGCGCTGGTTCTGAAAGCTCAGTCACACTAAATACTAGTACTTGGTCCACCTTGGCCTTCGGTTTGGAGACTCCTCAAACCCAGGGATGCCAAAATATGAGCTTATCAACCGAAGCCAATCACAAATCTGATTTTAATAAAATAAAGACCTATGTTCCTCAGCAACTACTTTCCTTTAAGTCCTTCTTTGGTAACAAGGAGCTAATTATTATTTTTTTAATTGAAGTAGCATGGCATGCTATATGTTTCAGGTATGCATCATTATAAGTCAGTGTCTGTACTACATTAAGTTCACCTCTGGTAGTTAATTTTTTACATGGAAACAAAACTTTTGCTTTGTAATTTTTTGTTTGCTGTGTAATTACTGCAGCTTCATCGTTAGTCAAGAATGTTCCAGCATCACACATAGACACATATAACAGCGCTGCTCCGACCCTCTGGTCAGGGAGTAAGAATCCACATTCTTTCAATAAATCAGATAGAAACATCTACTTCCCTCAGGGAAGGAGGTAAGAGGTTTGTGGAAGCTAATGTCATGAAGTCATGGCTCCATTTTGCTCAAAATACGAGCTCCACAGGAATAAAAGTCTCAACTGCTCACCTCCTAACTGGAGAGCCTCCTTTGTTTCGCGTCAAAGGGCCCTTTGTATTAAGGCAACTGAAACTGTAGATATAAAACCACCAGTTACCAAAAGTAAAATTCCTTTCTCTAAAAAGACATATCTTTAACAGAGCCTCTCCGTGATTCTGCCGTCAGATAATCCCAGAGGAAATAAATTCCCAGAGGAAGAATGGTACTTGCCATGAAATTACAATGTAAGACAAGGTTACAGCACCTTGAAGCAGGGGTCAGGGAGGGGGTTGGGGTGTGGGGGAGCAGCTTGGAAAGAGAAACTGGTTTCTAACAAAATCTTAAACATCTGATACATGAAACCCTTGACATATGAAGTGTAAGAAGCAAGTTGCAGGACTTTATATATTAATATGATCTTTTTATTTCTAAAAGTGTGTCTATATACTTGATTGATTATACAGAAATTAATCCAAAAGAGTACCCACCAAACTGTCACCAGTCACTGGCATACTTACAGAATGAAAATTTTTTTAAAATAAGCATCAACTTCTGGAATGAAAAACGAAACACTAAAATCAGAACCTGCTTGATTTACCTTACTTCCGTTGGTGGTAAGGGGTCAAACTCCACTCCTTCGCCAAAGGACAGGGGGCATAACCTTGGGGAGCAGCCCAGCGCCAGGGGGTTGGGGAGAGATGCTGGATTCTGCAAGGATGGAGAACACAGACCATGTTTCAATTCCCCATGGAAGATCCTGGCTCGGAGGCTCCAGCTGATGGCCCTGCTGGGATTCATGTCCACCTCCTAAGGAGGATGCCAGAGAACGCTGGCTGGCCCACAGCCCAAGAAAAACACTAGACCAATCAAAAGGCCTGGGTTCGAATCCTGAGTCTGTCACCGATGCACCTTCAGAATAGCCACATCACGCGTCCTCAGACCTGACCTGCACGCCCAGCGGGTATCCCTTTCCATTACTGAGGCTTTGTGAGAGGCTACAAAGTGGAAACAAATGCCAGCTCAGCACCACGACTGTGGCCAGAGCCAGGGGCTGCTGCACCACACACAGCAAGGCAGTGAGAAACCTCCATGAACCCTCAATTATGTGCCCCCAGCCCTGTCATTGTCTCAACAACACTTTAGAAAAGGCCAAAACAAACAAACAAAAAAAAATGCTACCAGGGATTTTTTTGAAGAACATTCAGTCCCGCTTCCCTTACCTCAACTGCCTCTGAGGCCCCCACATTAATTCCCAGCCAAAATGGAGGCAGCCGTAGGATGAAGGCCACGAGTTCTCTAGTCACCTTCCGCTGTGCAGAAAGCCCACCGACCTGGGGGCCGTCTTCCGGTCTGGGATTCCTCACACAGCCCGAGGGACACGCAGCTCCACCCTAGCTAGACCTGGGTGCTCCTTTCACCCTGCATGACTGGAATTGGGGCTTCTGTGTTAGGCAAAGGCAGAGCAAAGTTTGAAAACTTAGCAGCCCTGTACGTCCTGGTTTACAGCAGACCTGTCATTTCCTTTGCCCAATTTGAGATAAGGACCCACAGTTGAGCCTGGGTGTGGAGGTGGAAGTCCCACCCCTCCTTCAAAGACAAACATTCTAGATTGACTTGAAGCTTAAGTTACCAGGACAAGGTGTCAACTGGGGGTGCAGGGACCAGGAGAGGGTAGGGGGAGACAGCGCTCTGGCTGCTGAACTTGAGAGGGAGGTTGGTAATCTAGCTAGGGGAGTCCCGGTGTTGAGAACCAGTGGATGGGGGAGCAGGATTGCCCGCTGCTGCAGGTTTTGTAAACAGCCTCCCAGGAGTGATAGTTGGGTCTGCTGTGTCCCCGGAACCTGCTTGGAGATACTTTCCAACTTCAGGGAGCACCTTCCAGGAAATCCTGGGGCTGAGCCACCCCCCAGCACTCACACTACAGCCTTCTTCCAGGTGTTCACACAAAAACGCAAGGTTCTTTCACCCTTGCCTTCTCTGCGCCCCCACCCCGCCAACGGGCAGGCGCTCCCTGGGAACCCACCTTGCTTCGGGTACAGACTTGGGGTGGAGTCTGGCAGCAGGAGTTATAACAGATGCCTGAGCAAGGTGCCACCAGGGAATGAGGACTGAGCCAAGAACTCTGTCTGGCTCTGGGAAGCATCCAGGAAAGTTTCCCAGGGAAGGTGACAAGTTAGGCATTAAAGGGCCAGCAGGGCTCTAGCAGGTAGAAAATCTGCTGGGTGTTGGGAAAATTGGGGAGGGATAGGCTTAGGAGGGAAAAGGCCTGCAAGGCAGAGGAAGCATCGTCAGGGGCCCCGATGTGTATATCTAGCTGAGATCAAGGGATGTGGAAGATGAGGCTAGAAAGGGTCAGATGATGAAGGCTAGGTGGAATTGAAGCAAGTGCTGCCTTCCAATGGAAACAAGAAGATGCCCTGCTGTAGAAGCAGGGCCAGCGGGTCAAGAATTCTCAAGGCTGGTGTCTCCCTGATGGGGCAAGGGGTTAGGGACAGCACCATGAGGCTATCCACAGCTGCTTCAGTGGGAGCTCCATCCCGGCCAGGGAGCTGACCCACACAGCCAGGGAGCTGACCCACATGGCGCAGCAGACCTCTCCTGTCGAGCTGGCTGCTCCCCTCAGCATTTTGTTTCAGTCCATCTGCCTGTTCTCTCCCCACTCTGTCTCTGGTGAATCCTCTCACCCTCTGCACCTCTGGCCTGTACCCCAGCTCTTGTGTGCATAAATAAATCTTTTAAAAAAAGGAATTCCCCAAGCCACCACAGCCTCAGTGGGTCCTCAAGGAGCAGCAGCCATGACTACTTCACCCTACCGAGGGGAGAGGGCTCTACACCCCAGGGGGAGGGGAGCAAAGAGCTCGTTTGAGCTTTGATTGTAGGCAGGATGTGGCCTTTCTTGAGTTCTAGGTAAAGGCAGTTAATACAGTGACTTCTGGGTGCTTCCTAAAGCAAGAGACTGAGTTTTTTCTTTAAATGTTTTTAAACACGATGAAAGGATTTTTTTCTCCTACTTGTCATGTGCCAGACACGGGTTAGGTGACAGGACATGGAGAACCACTGGGAGGCTTGAGGTTCATGGGGTGACTCTTCTCAAAAGGTCTCCTCCAAGGCCTTAGTTTGCTTCCCAGAGGCTGTCCCCATTTGCTCTCTGAATGGGGGGTCCTCTCCCTAAGAGGGAGCAAGGAGGAGACATGCCCTTGCAAGACAACGGGAGGGTGAAAGGGTGGGTGCCAGGCCCACAGTCGAGGAAGGCTGGGGTTCCCTCTCCGTGTCCCCAAGCCCCACGAGCACGGGGTGGGGGTGGGGGGGCAGGAATGTAGCCCAGTCGCTGCTTGGCAGCCCCGGGGCCGCCACCCCGAAGGGAGGAGGCGGCGGCTCGCCTCTCCCGGGGCTCCCGCGCCTCCCAGGCGATGACAATTTTCCAGCCACCGGCTCCAGCTGGCCAGGCTCTCGCCGCGCTCCCGCCCCGGGCTCCCGGCGATGGCCACGCTGTCCCGACCGGCGGGTGGCGACGCCGACAGCACACCCCGAGCGGGTCGGCACGACCTGCTGGCGGTCTCCCGGGGCCGGGCCGCGGGTGGAACCCAGAGGGCAGGGGTCAGGGCGAGGCTACTCACCGAGACCACGGGGGTCGCCGCTGCGTCGGGCTCCAGCGCCCCGGGGGCTGGTGCGCGTT